TTACGTTGAACAGAATATTTTCTTAAAATTTCTAAATAAACCTTTATATTCAGTGAAGTTATTTATTTGACAACATAAATTAAGCAATAAACGTGAAATAAATATAAACGTTGATAAAGTGATCTAAAATTACAGGGACAAATAAATAAGCCAGAATCTGGCAGAATTAGTTTTATTGGTCAATGGAATAATTAATTACAGATAGAGAGGGTGAATTCTAACAGTGCGGTGTGAGTGCTAGAAACTTTCTCTTTTTAAAATTCCAAACTCTCAGCTTGTCTAATTGGCATTCTGGTAGGGGATACTGAAGAAGTTACAGTAAAGATCAAAATCGTAATACTTGGTTAATTAACATAACGTCCTTGCAAGCCCAAGCAGATGTCTGAATCTTAAAATAATTCTAGTATCTTATCTACAGAAGCTACACGTTATGTCTAAGACATCAACTGAGCAAAATAGGGGCCTTCCTCTTTGCTAAATGATTATTATTTTAGATAAAGTTCAGTGTGAAATTTCTCCAAACACAAATGTGGAGTAAGGAAGAAAAAAATAAGAAAGAGATACTTACATTTCCTAAAAGAAAAAGATTCTTAACATAGTCTTTTCCTTCTTCAGAAGTAGCTCGGAGAAGTAGTAGAAAATAATATATTAGAAAAGGCAATATGGCATTTTTCGCCAACTCACTTGACCTAATCAAAGAGATTTTCCTCTTCCCTCCATTCCTCCGCTGACGGGAAAGCACGAACCAAATTACTTTTCAACCTTTACACCACGACATCTCCCAAACACCACCCACTACACCTGCTTTCTATGCAGACGACACTACAATTCTCTCACAAAACGCATGTCTCAACTCAGTCGTACAAACATTACAAAGCCACATACACTCAGTGGAGTCCTGGATTACCGCCTGGAAAATTAAAATAAACGTTGAAAAGTCTGATGCCATTCTTTTCACCCCCCCAAAAAAATCGACAGAAATCTGCGGCTTCGCATGTTTGATACATTTATCCCCTGGACTCCAAGTTCGGAGTACATAAACAGGTTACAGGTTACGGAGGACGGGGACGCCTGGTGTTTAACATGGAGTACATAAACATGCATTCGCCCCTTTAATTGCTCGGAAAAGCATTTTATCTGTAGACAATAAATTACTACTTTACAAGACCATGTTGCGTCCCATGCTCACTTACACCTGTTCTGTCTGAGGCTATGGCTCCGTTACGTGAGTAAGGAAAATGCAACCTGCACAAAATGTTGTACTTCGTCAAGCGGTGAATTGTCACTAGTTTTTAGGAACTCGGCAATTCACCGCGAATACAAAATACCTGAACTTCATGCTTACACAGCAAAACTAGCAGAAACCTTTTTTAATAATATTCCTCATAAGGTATTTCTCCCACCTTCGTGGTGTGGTGGTCTGCATGCTCAGCGCGTAATTGAGAGATGCGTGGGTCGATTCCGGGCGAAGGCGTTGCATATTTTTCATCTTGCTTGCTCCCCCCAAAAAATACCTAATGTCTCTACAGTGGCGCCCGATCTAAAAGGGTGGATGATGATTCTCCACACCCAGGATTTGGCAAGCGGAGCCCCTAAAAACCCCAGTCGTCCTTTAAAGGGGGGAGTATACAAGGTATTTTTCCCACCTTCGTGGTGTGGTGGTCTGCATGCTCAGCGCGTAATTGAGAGATGCGTGGTTCGATTCCGGGCGAAGGCGTTGCATATTTTTCATCTTGCTTGCTCCCCCCAAAAAAATATTAATATTTTCGCATAAACAGGTTTCAAATTCTCAATTCTGACTACAACAGCCATGCAAACCGAAAAACACCGTTAGCGGTCCTTACGCACCTTTCCTAGATTCCTGACTCCTACATTGTATATATTTGTATTTATTATGTACTTGTATTTTCATGTGTGTTTTTGATGTGTTTTATATGTCTGCGTCAAAAAAATATGAAAACAAAATGTACCAAAAACTTCATAAAACCTAAAAATCATACCAAAAATAGTATATAAATTAAAATAGCAAAAACTACAATTCTCTCCTGTATGTACTGCGTATATTACTTTTGGCTATATACAAATATTTGTGCTTATAGATTTCTGCTGCGAATGTACTATTTGTTTACACTTTATTGAAAGAAGCGTTTGTGCAATATTCGCATTTCTTTTCACCGCACTGCACTTATCCCTGTTCGTAGCTCAACTCGACCTTCTAGGCTACTGGTAGTTTGGCCTAGCTTCAGTCTCGGATTAACATCTTTATAAGTTTCTAGTGCCCGTTGTGAACTTGTGACAATAATTGCCATACTTACTCATCTGCCATATTGACATCTGTCTTACTTTATGAACTATATGCATTAGAAAATTGACGACATGTTCCACTAGGGTAGCGCTGTCGGCACGGAAACCTGAATTGTAAACACCGTTTGCTGAGCCGATGAATTTTCCTCTACCTGCCAGGGAAAGTGAATGTTTGTTGTTTAGTGCCGATTGTGTTGCAATTTATTATTCTGCTTTAATTAAAGCAGAATAATAAATTGTATTATATCAGTATTTAAGCTTGCCTACTACTTCACCTACGATTTTCAACTTGTGTTGCTATTATTTTCTTTTGTTGAATGGCAAAGATTATTATTGTTGCTAAGGAAAATAGTCATTTCTTTTTATGTAATTTTTAGAACGCAGGCTTTTCAGCAGTGTGTTTTTTATGTCTGCAATTCAAATTTAAGGCTGCATTTAACATTAAAAGGTTGTTCATTTTCAAAATTATCGTATTCATTCATCCGGAGAACTTGTAGTTCATTTGCGTGATATAACAGGCGTCCGTAAAGTTTTGTTTGCTGATGTTATATACATGCATTACATGTGCAACATTAATGTTTAACAATGTTTTTGAGCAAAATATAGTGAAATTTCGGATTAATTTCAGGAGTTGAATTCCTTTAACTTGACTGCTCATTGCTGTGAAAAGTTTGAGTTAGATTCCTCCACTGAGAACTGATCCAGCTTCATTCAATCTTTATTTAACAATAGTGGAGGTACCCGATGCCATTTAAGTTAGATTGAGAAAACGATACGAAAGAGAACGATACCGCTTCAATCCTTCTCCAATGACGATTCAAAACATACGATTCATAGTCATACATCTCTCAGTCGGCAGCAAAATGGAATCAACATAAAAAATTTCCACAGAAAAATCAGCTAACTCTCTCTCATTATATTAAGAGCAATGCCAATCAGTTTTAATGATTTTCTTCTTCCTAATTCAACGGTCGTAAAAGCTGGAGTTCCATCTAAAATTTGATGTATTTTCCATTTTAGTCGATTAAATGTAGCAAAAAATGGATCATAATTGATCAGAAATCAATAACGCGAACAAACACACAAACACACATTCTTCCTTATATATATACTATATATATATAGAGAGAGAGAGATTTTGTAAAACTTACAAATATGCGATTAACAAACTCTACGGCTTGAAAGCGAGCTTGTAACACTTTTCGGAATAAACAATTTTTATCGCCAACGCGCGAGACTTTTGCCACTTGAAAAAAAATGAACGCACAAATTAGTGTTCTCAGGATTCTTAATTAAAATCTCGGCTCAGTAAAGTGTTACGAATATGCGAACAGCCGAAATGGCTTCCCGTGAGTTTTTGCAATCGAGAATAATCTATTTAGTGTTCGGCGATGCTATTTTTATTTCATTATAAAACTTCCAAATTTTTCATTAACAAACTCTACGATTTGAAAGCGAGCAGCTAAAAACGCTTCTCAAAATAAAGCGGACTATTATCTCTAGCGTGCGAGGGTGATGTTACTCGGAAAAATGAGCGTTTTCAGGTTTTTTAATTAATATTTCCGATTTCAGCAATTTGGGGGGGGGCGAAGCGGACGTCGAACTTTCCCAGCACCCAGAAAAGAATTGTAGAAAGTTTGCTGATGATAGCTACAGTAGTGACTGAGTTAATCGCGAAAAAATACACATTCTTCTTTATGTATACAGATTATTTATTGATCATTTAATTTACCAAATGTTTAACCTTATCGCCAATTCTTAAAATCTTAATGCAACAAAATTTTCATTGAGTTTGTTCTACCATTCACATTCCCGTGCATTTCACGCGTTTGCCTCTTCGATTTACTGGAGAATCGGAGACCTACTAGCGTTTCAGGTACTAGGGACAAGACAATGTAACACCACATGTTGTAGCAGCAGCGCGCCCCCCCTCAGTGTATTATGTAGCAATGCAATGTGAAGCTTGATTTGCTTCGAATGTGTTCCGAAGCTCAGTAGCTTTACCATTTTGGTTAATCTTTGGATTATGGTAACTTGGCAATTTTTTGGCGAAAATTTGCGACCAACCCTGCTACAGCAACCTGCTAGTTTTTTGTTTGGACGCCATTTTGTTTTCACGAAGTAAAGGCTTTTTTTTTTTTTTTTTTTTTACTCAACATTTTTTTCCAACAACCTGCTAGCCGAATTACGCTTATGCTAGAACTTTTATTGAACAAAAGTGCTTAATCATGACGAAGATTAGGTGCGAAATTGGGAGAAAGTGCAGAATCGCAAACTGCTTGCCGCGTTTTTAAGAATTCCACATACACGGTATCCATGTACACGTCGACCTATTTTTACTTAAAAAAAAATCCCATAATTGCACAAAAATGGCATTGCGCATACTCTTGACTTTATCCATGTACATTGCTAAAGTCCTAGCTAGTAACCTTTATCGCCTTGCCAAAATGTCACCAAACTACCTGTTACCATATTCCAAAGAATAGCCACCATTTTCCTTAGACCGAGAAAGAAATGTTTCAGGAAAACGGATTTTTTTATCATGGACTAGATGTTAAAAACCCATGCAGGGAGAACGGCCATTTTTTTTTTTTTTTTTTTTTTTTTTTTTAAATTTCGCTTTTGATCGAGGATTTAATTTTGAAGGAATGCATGCTTTACTGAAACAGGAAGAAATATTTAAAAATAATCAAATATGCTTGCAAAAGATACTTTTTACATTTAATTCTATACTCATAAGTAATCAAACATTAATCGATGTACTCAAAATGAGTTTTTCTTCTTTCAGGGCTTTCATCAGTTTGCTTGTTCAGATGTCCAAGAGTAATTCTTCGAGTATCACCTTTTCCACAAGGCTGATTTGTATGATTGGAATGTCTTCAACAATTTCTTCTCTCAAGCTTCTTGGACACATATCCTTCTTTTCCATCCAGTCAATACGACGGTTAACTTCTAGAATGGCATCCCTCACCGTACTGCCACAGGGCACTGAAACGGCATTGACGGCGCAAGCAAGATCATAAGCCAAACTCCTGTAGGTTAAAAAAAATTGTGCTTATGCTTAAATTATGCTTCTGTCTGTAAATAGCACAGATACATAATAGTGTAAATAAATTTGCTGTCTTTTGTATCTTTGTCTTATCAAAATTTAGGTTCACTCCAAATAAAATTCGCTCATTTTTTAGATTCGTTTTTAAAATTTATATTTTTGAATAATTTTAAAACATTTTTCCAAAATCAGTTTGAGTTATAATCTGTAAAATATTTACCTTCTAAGCACACCTGCAAAGAATGAGAGTTTTTTATTCAAAATTTCCGAAGATATACATGAATTTATATATTGGCACGCTCTGAAATTTGGTATTTTTGTTGAAAGCGATAAAACATCAAATTTGGTTTAGATACTTTATTTAAATTATTTGAAAGTAGGAACGGTGTGGCTATTTTACCCTCGTGCACATTGTAAAAAGGGGAAAAGTACAGAAAAATAAATTTTTGAATTTCTCCGTAAATTTCGCAGCAAATTTTCGCAGTAATTTTTTCGCATCATTTGAGTCGTAGAATCGAAATATGGGAAAAAATTGGTATGTTATTTCAGAAAAGTTTGATTTTATGTCAAAATACCTATATTATAAGAATGCTATATATATAAATGTAATTATATCATAGTTCGCGTTTTCAAGTTATGAAAAACGCAATTTGAATTCCGTCAATTGGCGCAGTAGAACAGCAGATAAAGAACTGTCCCATATATATATATATTATATAGTGTAATTTTTTTTAAGCAAGGATGAGCTTTAAACGGCTTAAGGTAAAACAAAAATAAATTTTGAAGCCTAAATCGTAAGTTTTCTATAACTCTAGATCAGTAGAATTTTTATTTAATGTATTTGCAGGCTGTTGCGATACATCGGAAATATTAGCATCAATAAATGGATTCGACATGAGAGAAGCAATAGGCTGAATTTTACGAAAATTAGAAACGTTAATTTGAAAATTATTTTTTAAATGAATATTTCGGAACACTTAATTATTTCAGTTTTCTTTTATTTGATTACGTATCTCTCCATATTTGTAAAGTGTCAAAAGTTACATTCCTTTTTCTGGGATATTCACAAATTCAACTTGTACCTAAAGGTGTTCATACTTTCTTTAATAAAATTTTGTTATAAAATATAATATAATATATAAATAATAATCTAAAAATATATATAATAAAAAATTATAATAAAAATATAAATAAAAATAAAAAAATAATAAATTCCTTTATAACAACTTTCATTACGCGTACAAAACGAAGTCTTTTATACATAGTTTAGAAAAAAATTGACAAAAAAGTTTGGAAAATCTATCATTCCTACACAATGTTATGAAGACAACTGCGGAAAACGCGGCAGTTCAAATCCAATCCCGCGTTCAAAAAGTTCAAATCCCGCGAACGGGCTGGCTGCAGGGGAGTTTTTGTGGTTTTCCCGATGTGTAACGTGTATACGAGTCAGTTCCCCTTAGAAAGTCCTCCACGAAGGGACCCCTCCCCTTCGGCCGATAGCCCTCGAGGCTTTGCCATAATGTGTGTGTGTATGTGTGTGTATTTAATTATGGCAAAGCACACTAGGGCTATCTGCCCAAGAGGAGGGATGCCTTTCGTGAGGACTTTCTAAGGGAAAACAGGCTCGTATTTGCTTGTTACACATGGGGAAAACCACGAAAACACCCATGCAGCCAGCCAGTTCGCGGAATTCGAACCTCGGACCGAACTACCAGTGTTCAGCGACTTTACCGCTCGGCCGCTGGTGGGCCCGCTTTGTCATAATGACACACACACTTTGACCAACAGCAGAACCAATCATGGCAACTGCGAAGTGCTTTGTTTACAGAGAAGGTTTGGAAGAGGAAGTTTAATTACTCTTGTGTTATTCTGGTTGTTTGGTTTTTAATAGCTTAGTATCCACTCATGAAGTATTATCTCGTGAAGTATTGTCTCATGAGTATTTTTTCATGAAGGCAAAACCGACAGTATATCTGCTGTCACTAAGAAATCGTTAAAGACGATACTCTTAAAAATAGTTACTTGAGCTACATTCGCAGATATCTGTTGATTCATGAAACTTTTAAAGATTATACTTAACAAAGATGCCTAGCAAGATTACCGCGCTACATCTAGTGTAAAATATCGTATACGCTAGTGCAAAATGCAGTGTTTGTGAGTGTAAGTAGAATTTAACTTTTCCTTTCATTATTGGTACTTCACTTCGTAAGACTCAAAAGGTACCAGACGTGCAACGGGATCCACATCGTAGGGTCGCGAGAAACACGTGTAGCTTACCGTCTACGGGTGGTCTTGACTTATAAGCTGTGTCACAAGGTCCAGCCTTTATTTCCAAAATGGTTAACAGTAAAGATATACTTTCAGTTACGAAAATCCTTTAAAATTAACGACATCTAACGTTTTATACACTGCTGGCCACCCAAATTGCAACACGAAGAAAAACAAGAGATATCACAACAAAATTTATTTAGTAGATAACATGTTGACCAAGTATCAAATAATTAAATTTATAGACTTCCGTGAAGTGTGCTTCCTTCCAGAGTCAGAAGCCAGAGTAGCCGCCATTGTTGCAGATTACCGCTGCCACACGCCTCGGCATTGATTCAAAGAGACTTTGGATGTGTTCTTGGTGTATAGCACACCAAGTATTCCACACGTTGCCAAAGTTGATCTGGTGTGGCAGATTGGGATGTAATCTGGGTAAATCGTTCAGCAACCATATACCACATGTTTTCTATCGGCGAAAGATCCGGAGAGCGAACCAGCCAGGGAAGCAATTCAATCTGGTGATTGACGAAGAACCCTTGGACAATGCGTGCCACATGTGGTGGCGCATTATCCTGTTGAAATATAGCTGTGGGCCAGCCCTGAAGGTAAGGAAGGACAACTGGCTCCAACACCTCGGAGATGTAGCGCTGGCTGTTTAAAGTACCGACAATGCGTATTAGAGGAGTGCGAGAGTGATATCCAATACCGCTCCATACCAAAATACCCGGTGCAGGACCAGCGTGGCGGTGCATAACGCAGCTGTTCAGCATCCTCTCTCCACGGTGTCTCCAGACTTGAATCCCACCATCGTGGTGTTGCAGACAGAAGCGTGACTCGTAAGTAAAGACAAATTCATTCCATTCTGCCTTCCACATCCTTCTTTCATCGCAACATTGGCGGCGGAGACATCTGTCGTTCTGCGTCAAGTGTAGACGAAGCAATGGACGCCTTGCGGACAGACTGCTCTGCTGTAAACAGCGTCGAATGGTACGAGCAGATACTGGATGATGCGTTACAGACTGAATGTGCTATTCTATGGTTCGTGATGTGACTAAGCGATCCGTCACTGCCATGCGCACAATGTTCCTGTCATCACGTGAAGTGTTCCTGTCATCACGTGAAGTGTTCCTGTCATCACGTGAAGGATGCGACTGACGTGGATGCGATCGAACACGTCGGTCCGTCGTACCCTCCTGCATCCAACGGTCACATATCCGCATTACAGTTGTTTGGTTTCGTCCAACGCGAATACCGATTTCCCTGAAAGATAATCCACACTCTCGGTACGCCACTATGCTTCCTCTGTCGTACTCGGATACTTGATCACACGATGATTGCTGTTTACTACGAAGTATAATTGATCTTTTTTTTTTTTTTTTTTTTTTTTTTTTTTTTTTTTTTTAAAAACAAGAAAAATACAATTGCCGAACTTGTAATCGTCGAAAACTCCAAGCCTTAAATAGCGCTTTGAAGTGGCGCCACTGGCGCGCGTGATGTACGTCTGTGCTGAAATTCTAATCATTGGCATATCTCACCTCCTCTAATGCATGTTGTAAATTTCATGTTATTTGCATGCTTCCTTCAGGGTGTAGCATTTACGGTGGCCAGCAGTATATTTCGCTCATTTATCGGTTTATCTACTCATATTCGGGAATATATTATACTTCTAAAATTCATAGTATAAAAAGTGTAACTATAATACGACAAACATTTTCCGAAGTAGTTTTAGTTTTAAAATCGGAAATCATATGAGGGAAATCAAAGGACGAAGTGGTTGTATTTCTACTAAAATAATGTATCTTTAAGTCAAAAGATACTTCTAGCACATTAAAATGTTTCACTAAGACATATTATGCACTAATGGTTTAGATGACATGCATAAAATTGGAGAACTTTAAAAATAAAGTCATCTTCAGAATGAAGATGCAACTGAACGGGTTTTTTATAATGAATATCCAATTTTTAGTTCCTTTAAAATTATAAAAATAAAAAGACATGAATGGAGACTATGAAGTATATTTACATGCACATGAGCTTCTTCCAGTTGTCATCTGAAAATTCTTCACCTGTAGTGTTCAGGTAATCTTTGTAAGTTCTAAATACCGTTCCGGTCTTTTCGTAACATTCCTTGATTACGTTTTCTTTGATGCATCCTATATTCGGCCCGATAGCTGTTTAATAGAAAAAGGTATTAAATCTAAATAAATTTTAATTCAGTTCATAATTTTAAATATTTGAATGGGTTAAATTTGCAGTTTATAGACCTCAAAACATAGTTCAATATCATGCAGAAGAATTCATCAATAAAATTTCAACAACTTTAAAAAATATTTTTAAAAGCATACAAAGTTTAAAAACTCACAAATTGAAACACATTTAATATTTTCGTACTTACGTACTATGCCGTCGAAAGTGAAATTTGGCCACAACTGAACTATACAATTTGGCGGTGATCTCACCAAAATTGCACGAGTCCTTTATAGCATTATAAGGGAACTGGCGCCTCTTTATTTATTAAACAGTTAGTTTTCGACCCGCTTCGTTTTGTGCTTCTAAAAAAGCTTTCATCGCTTTCTAATGATTTGTTAGGGTTCCCGATTGCATATTTCACAAGTGCACATCTGCGTAGCCACCGAGGGAGTGGCTTCTAGGATGAACCAATGGGCATCCAATATCTCCGTCATGTCACATGACCTTTCGCGTGCCTTAAGATTTAAGCAAGATGGTTTAAAATATAGTGCCACGAAAGTTTCTGCAAAAAATAATTAAAGCATTATCCATTTCTTCTGAAAATTTTCATTGCAAAGATAAATAAAATATGGGCAAATTTGTAGATTTCGCTACCTAGTTAAAAGAATTTGAAATAAATACAAACACATGTTGGATACTCCGCAAAAACATCCATGTGAAATAGTACTTAATAAGTGGTAAATAAGATGAAGAAATAAATATGTGATAAACATCTGAGCCCAAACGCTATCTCTACATAAAACTATGCATATGAGAAAAATATTTACGCCAATTATATATGTTATTAGAAGGTCAGCGCTTTTTATTGTAGTCTACACGAAAAAGATGTTCTATAACAATAACCAATGCAGAATTTTATTTAAAGTGAATTTTACTAATTTGCATTCGTATAAATTTAGTGTTTTAAACTTCACTCACTCTCAAATGTACTGCTCACTCTGAAATGTACTGTCTACACAGAAATATTCATCAAACAGAATGAATTTACCTTATTCGCAACGAATATATTCAATTTATTCACATATAACGTTTAAGAGTGGATGTAATCAGATCATACAGAATATGTATTCTGAATCTTACACTTTAAAAATCAAAAGAATGTGAGCTTTGAAATGAAAAAACACTAGAATCATTGTAACACTTTCAGTCCTTCTCAACTCAATAAAAAAAACACAACTATACACTTGAATTCTCTTAATCCACAGGTGTTAGTAAATGCATAATATTTGAGGCTAATTGTTGCTTGAGTCCTTTTATTGATGTAAAAAGCGATAATATGCCGTGAAAATGAATCCAAATATTAATGCGTGATAAAAATAGCGTAAGTGAAATGTCAGCGATTAAAGCTAAACTCATAAAACGAAAGCACTACGAGATTTTCTACTATTACGCCATACATTTATAACTGCGAAACAAATGCAAATTAAAATGTAAACAACATACGCTTAGCGTCACAAGAGCAATAGTAGCTCATTGGTCCACTTTCGAAACTCCTCCCTCTGTGGCTACGCTGATGTGCACTTGTAAATTATGCTTCCCGATTTTACCGAAAACTCTGTTTTGAAGTCTATTAACACAAACGTTGTGCAGGTAAATGTTCCAATCTATCATTGTTTGTGCCGCTCATATTCAGCTGACCATATCGATTCGCTAGTACACACTTTTGAAGGTAAGATCCTATAATTTTGAAAAGAATCTACAACTTCGTGTTGCTTACTTATAAAATCATAACGCTGCTTATTAAGAATCAGTCTGGGCATTGTCACGGATATTATGTCAGTTTGTATATCTTGTATACACACACCAAAAATGAAAGAGGGGAACAATTGTATGTCTCCTGTTCAACTGGCGTTTTCCATGTCTGTAAAGTCCGACTTAGAATATATTTAGATTTATGGCTAATCTTTGGAATATGGTAAGGTAGTTTGGCGACATTTTGGTAAGGCGATAAAGGTTACTAGCTAGGACTTTAGCAGTGTAGTACATGGATATAGTCAATAGTGTGCGCAATGCCATTTTTGTGCAATTCTGGAATTTTTTTTGTGAGTGAAAATAGGTCGACGTGTACATGGATGATACCGTGTATGTACAATTCGTAAAAACACGGCAAGCAGTGGGCGATTCTGCACTTTGTCCCAATTTCGCACCTAATCTTCGTCATAATTAAGCACTTTTGTTCCAGAAAAGTTCTAGCACAAGCGTTATTCGGCTAGCAGGTTGTTGGAAAGAAATGTTGGAAATGTTGAACTAAAAAAAAAAAAAAATGCCTTTACTTCGTGAAAACAAAATGGCGTCCAAACAAAAACGAGCAGGGCTGGTCGCCAAAAACATCGCCCAATTACCATAATCCAAAGATTAACCATATTTATTTAATGTATCATTGTTCTGCCATTGGAATTTTAACACAAAATCGGACTTTTTCGGAAATGACATATCTATTTTTTCCATACTTCGATTCTTCGCCTCAAATTGCGCCAAAGAGTGAAGTTTCCCAAATATCGCACGAGTTGTTTTCAAAACATTAGCTTCCAAATTTTAGCTCCTCAATGTTATTGAAACTGGTATATATTTGATAAGTTTTTTTTTTTAATTTTAAACTAACTTAATTCCTTCATCACAATTTGAAATTTAGGTTCAATCCAAATAAAAGTCGCAACTATTTTCTAATTTGTTTTTAAAATTAGATTTTTAGTATCATTTATACATTATTTGAAAAATATTTTTGTATTATATACTATAAAGTTTTAACATCATTTTAAAACAGACCTATGTTTAAGCGTTCCCAATAAAAAAAGACTTATAATTTCCGAAGATATACTTGAATTAGCGGTTATTAAAATTTAGCACATTTCTTATAGGTGATAATATCGCCAAGTATGGTTTACAGATGTTGTTAAAATTATTTGAAAGAATGAATGTTGAACATTTTATTTCACTCGTTCGCAAGGAAAGGGAAACGATAATTGGTTATCATAAATTAAGAGTGTTACCAAGTGAATTCTTCGCGAAAACTGGGGAGGGGGAAAGACGTACTCCAAGGTAAACTTTAAAATTTTCACGAGACTTACCAAATTTTACAAAACTTAATTTAGCTATAATTTGAGGCGTAGAAGGCTAATATATATATATACATATAATCTGGTAATCCATTTTTAAAAAAGTCTGATTTTGTGTCAAAATATATATGGTAGAAGAATACTATATATAAATTTAATACGTATAGTAAGTCAAGCTTGCAAGACATGGAAAACGCAAGATTCGTGAATTTGCCTAGTTGAACAGGAGAAATATAGACCTCCCTTTTTCCCGTCCTTTCTTGGCTCAGACGGTATAGCGGGTAGGGAAAATGACTGCGATAGCAAAGTGGCCGGGTTTGAATCCCGGAGAAGACATACTTGTAATCGTCCATGCCTTCATAGGGAGCGACGCCAGTCGCCTATTTAGGTGCCTACACAATAAAATGGCTATTACTTCTAGTCTTAAATGCCCATTGTCGAAAACACAAGTGCGCGCAATTAGATAAAACCATATTTTTAAAAATCTTTTCCAAAATAAGCAAACTAAACGAGAGAACAAAAGTTTTGTATTTCATTATTCCATTAAAAACTAATGGATAATAAATATTGTTTTGGTAAGTCAATGGACTATTACTTAGTATAGAAGTTTGTGAAGATTTCTATGCTAGTTTAAGAATTAAAACTAATGATAATTACTTTATCATTACCCAGAATTACCCAAGATATTTTTAAACTGCGAAATTTTTGAACCACCTTGTTTTCTCCTACGATGTGTTTTACCACGACGTTTTCGCCTTGTGTTGTTTTTTCCGCGACGTTTTTGTCAACGATGTTTTCGGCGGACGCAGTCTATCACAGAGCAATGTAAATGGAGCGTACAAAAGCGAACCATTGGACTCTTGGTCGTATATTAAATAAGGAGTTGTCAGTTACTTCAAAATTCCACATGTATACGTTTGGCGCACATTTGGCGGGATTTATCCCCAATGGTTCAGATGGCATGGTTTGTTGAAAGGCAACTCTAATTGTCGATAGAACAACACGTAAGAAACCAATTATCACATGGAAGTTAAATTAAAGATGTTACGTCTTTCAGAATGACAACTTTGGCTAACCGTGTGTCTTTTAAATGGATTGATAATGTATAATATTGTTGTAAATTATTGGTGGAAAACAAGAACTATAGGCATTACAATGTTGGAAAAAGAATAACTGATAAATAAACATTTTACCTTCATTAAGGCTGGAACCTTTGCGGCAGACTTCTTGCAGAAATTCAACAATTCCAGTAATTTTTTCAAGCTTGTCCGATTCGCATTTGATTGCATGTTCCTGTCTGCATTTAGATTCGTCCAATATAATACTGAAAACAGTGAGAATGATTTAAAATTTTGAGACATGTTTATAAACTGAATCAAACCTAATTCCATGCATGAAAATTTATTATGTAAAATATTGCCGCGTTCCCGGCATAAAGACTAATGTCGCTGATTGCCGTACCGATGGGCTCGGGTTCAATCCCGGAAAAAGAATGCATATTTGAAAGTGTACAGCATATGCGCGCAGGAAGGCACTCAAAATACATGCCAAGCCGAAAGTCCTATGGAGAGGTTAGCGGTAAGGAAAGAGTCATGGCACACCTCTCGGACCGGAAATTTGAGCGGAAGCATAATAGTTAACTAAGTTCTGCAATCCCTTAGTCACCTGGGGTAGTACAGAGGTGCTGGCCTAGTTTTCACTTGTACTCGATATAGAATAGTAACATTTTTCAGTGATGACTGAGGTTAAGATTATTATTATTTCAATTATGATAAAAGGACTACCAGCGTAGGGAAACAGGTGCCTTAATGGAGAAGATTTTAAGAAAAACTGGCCGGTCAGGTTTGTCACACAGGGAGAAAATCACCAAGGTCTCCCGTGCAGCCAACTCTTTCAAAGGGATCTTACTCGGGTCGGTTTGGTACAAGATCAAGGTTGATACAGGATCAAGGCACTCGATGGCTATTTGCCTAAGGGTACCTTTGTGGAGAAATTTCGAAGGCAAACTGGCTAGTCTGCACATTATACATGGGGAAAACCTCGCAAATGCCTGTTCAGAAAACCCGTCCACAGTGAATCGAACCCCAAAACCAATTAGCAGTGTTCAGCGATATAATCATTCCACCGCTGGTGAGCTCAGATGAAATTTACTCGGGTCGAACTAACAGTGTTTAGGGATGGTTCAAAGTGTTGCAAAGTTGTAATGGTGTTGCAAAGTTGTAATGTTGTTGCAAAGTTGTAATGTTGCTGCCATAGCACTCACTACTAGCATGTAGGTTTCCAATATAATTGCCAACAATCTATTGAATAACGTTTTAGAAAATGCCTGCAATGTATGCAGTGTCATAAAAATGAGCAACGTAAGCAGTTAGCAACAAGGAGCAACAAAACGGTAACAAGGAGCAGTAAAAAATAAACTGGAAATCTATTCAAAAATTAATAATTATCTTTGGTTCTTTCTATGGCAAAGACCGACGCTAATGCTGTGAATATTGAGTTCGTTAATTAATGGGGTAATGATTAATAATGGAGTTAATTATACAATTAATTTTGCTTTGTAAATAAATAACTCTAATGACAATTATTTAATGTTTTGGATCAGTTAAAATAATAAAATTATTCATTATGCATAACTGCTGCTGATTGGAATGTAAACTGAACATCTCATACCAGACCGCTGTTCCAATAAATAGATTGCCTACAATAAACGTTTTCAAGGTTTTCTTGAAATATAACGTAAATATGAGACAGTTTCTTTAGAAAGTTTTCTACGAAATCATCCCTTCCATGGAAAGTGGATCTGGCGTGCTTTGTTTTAATTTAAAATCAATTATCAATCAACTGAGTTTTAACATTAATATTTACCTTCCCTATCTTCACCAATTAGACAAATTGACATAGATAATATTTTAAGTAAATTACAGACATTAAGCTGAACGTTTTTAAAATTCTCCGTAAAAAATTCGGCTTCATTAAAGCAGCCTGAAAAATTCGCTGACTAGTTTTGCGCAATTTTCTTTCTGACTCAAAATTAACTTTTCTTAACACATCAGCTTGTCAAATTTTATCGCCATGTATTATTTTTAAAGAATTAATAAAGTGACTATAAAGAATGTATGGCAAAATTTAACATTTTATACGGAATTTTACAGATATCCAATATAAAATACTTTTAACTTCGATGCTCCAGTTTGTTACTGTTTGGAAAAACATAAATATTCAACTTTTTGAAAATTTTAATCCGTCTATTATTGATTAACGCTCTAAGCGATTTTAAAGTAATAAACACTGTTCCTTATCACTCTTATTTATTACCAGCTGGACTCGTGAAATAATACTAGCTGAATTTATGAATATTTTTATGAATTTATGAAAAATGATTTTTCTTTTTTATAGTACTTATTTTAGGTTGCTTCCCTTTTTTCTTATCAGCATGCTAAAAATGCATGATGCATAATAAAACGATTGTATAGAAAATTCTAAAAATATGCGGGTTTTAAAAATTTATGATTTTGCCTTTAATTTTATGTAACTACGAAGTAAGTGATGTTTAATAAGAAAGTTAACGAAATAAAAGGCGTTCTGCCAATAGAAATTGAGTCTTAACAGATATGAGAACAGAGAGAGTATAAAAAATCTTTAAAAAAACACCCTCAGGTAATCCATTAAAATTCTGAATCCCTTTAAGTCTTTAAACCAAAGAAGCGTTAGCCCAGAGGGGCTATTAATTTCGTTTTGGCACTTTACATCGATTCACTGTAAATGTCCGTATCATTTTTCAAACTGTTGCTACCAAATATTATCGCCCTGTGTTATATTTAAATAAATTAAATAATGAATGTATGTATGTATGTTTCTCACATTGTGACAAAACAACGGTACCTAGAACCATCCAATTTTGAATAACGTAATCCTCCCCCGTATATGGGCATCTGAAAGCCCGAACTTGGATTTTGTTTTATTATCGATTTCATATTTTGTAACAGTTTAACAAATTTTTGCTTAACAAACTCAACGATTTCAAAGCGAGCCGCGCTAACACTGTACGAGAAAAAAAAATGTTTATCTCCAGCGCTGGAGATTGTATATCGGAAAATCTAGAGATATGCTCATCTTAGAATTATTTTGCGATATTGCTGTTGAATTTAATTTTCTGTTTTAAGTGCGAAGGACATCATCATATTTAATAAATAAAGGTAACACAGAAAAAATTAAAAATACACCTTTGGGAGTAATGTAAAAATTGAAAAAGCTTTCAGATTTTTATTTTTTTTTTCACATTCCTCAACTCCCCTTCCCCAGCAGAACATTTTACAATCACAAAATTATGGGTTATTACCATACAAGCTCGCTGCAATCTGCAATTGCGATATCCAAAATTTCTCTTGGCGATCATCATGTTAAAAAGAAGTTACGAATATTCTCTTTTGGATGCGATAATTGCTAAAATGTTCGAATTATATTTATCACTTTGAAATGACTATGTTTTTATTTAGCATTCTATAATTTAATTCGAACTCTATACTCACACTTGATTTAAAATAAAAAGAGTCAGTAATTATAATAAAAACGTGTAAAATTGCCTAAAGCAGGCTTTGGCTTTAATTCCAAACCGGAGCGTTCGGTTCGCTAGGTCAGGAGAAGGATTCGTATAGCTGAGATACTGAAATCGATAATTACCATCAGATAATTTAGAATTGAAATGATGTCTCAATTTGAAGCCAGTGTTTTCTTTAATCCTTGTTAGATTTGTTTTAGGTTTATAGAAATTTGTGAACATTTCATCTTTCATTAACATTGCATTGTAACACACCTTCTTTGCATTAAGAAAACTTACATCAAACTTTTCTTGCAGAATAAATTTCAATCTTATATACTTAAAAAAATGAAGGGAAACAAAAAATATATAACTTAAATAACTTACGAACAAGTCTCGTCGAACTCTTTCTCGTTGTTTGGAAACACAAAAGGTATACCAGAATCACATATTTCCCAACTGTCCTTCTCACAAATGTCGTCCTTTTCTAGAGCTGACAGATTAGAAAGAATAAATAATAAATGAAGTGTATTTTATAAAGTACCAATGGCAAACTGGCTAAAGCACCTAATGGCTGTATAACGTTGGACAGTGAATCAGTGACAAAATTTAGCTCATTCATGAAACGTAAATTACCACACAAGAACTATGAATTTTACATTGTTCAACATTTGCAAAAGAATACTAATGTGGAGGTATCCTAAAAAATGTTCCAAAGCATAAAAGCATATTTAGGTTATTTATAAGTACGGACGCCAGGGGTATATATTCAAGGACAAAGACATAAGATATACAACAGATTGTTCAATTTAACATGCGTATGTTGTACTAATTTTGATAAAAATATATCTATAGATTTAGTTTCAGAGACCTAGTTTTTGAGTGCCGCCGGTATAGTGGTTAGCATCGCAGACTGCGTTCAAGGGTCCGGGTACGAATCCCGGAGAAAGCATGTATGTTTGCAAGTGTATAATGTCAGTGCGGCATGGGGGCATTCTAAATATGCGGCCAACAGAAAGTCCTTTCGAGAGGTTAGTGTTAGGGAAAGAGAGGTGGGAAACCCACGGAACCGTCCCTTCGAGGAGCTCTCCATCAAAATTTAAGGCTTCCTTATTAGATAATTCAATAACTATTGGGGAAGAAGAAAAAAAAAAACATGGTTTAAACACATGTTATATTTAATCGATTTGAATTTTAAAAGTGATTCAAAATTACAAATTCATCACACTTGTGAAGAAGATAAAAATTTAAATCTTCATTTAAATATTTTTCCATTAACGGTTTTACAAAATTTAGATGTCAAACCTGCTTCGTAACTGCGAATATTGGTTTATTAAACAACCTTTTCCTTACCTGTAGAACCTGCGATGACTAAACCGACGGCAATAATGAGAACCCACATGTTTATTTGAGAGTCGAATGAAGAGCAATAAAGTTAAACAGATCCTGGAAGCTTTACATATTTATAGCATTCAAATAAATCGCTTTTTTTCATGCATATCTAATTAAGTTGCGGAAATATATAATCTACTTCCTTCGCGATTACTGTGTCTGCCGGATGCCCACTTGTTAGTGTTTGAGCAATTTGAAAAAAGGCAAAAGAACCGCTTTCTTTCTCTTTATAAAAACTTGAAGATGTATCTGTCGTTGTGTTGACGTGAATCCAAGACGAAAGATATTTTCAAAAGATGAACGCTTTTTCAAATATTCTGTACTTGTTTCATTTCTAAACTGGAAATACAATTACTATTTTTTGATTATTAAAATTTAAAAGAAAAGAATCTAAAGACAGCTTAGTTTTTAATGAATCTTCACGCTCAATCTCAAACTGATAATTGCTAGTTTTAAAATTATTATTTTAAGTATAAATCTTTCATTATAGTCAAACTTTCAATTATTTTGAGAACGCGCATAAACTTTAAAAAATACTACAATTGCGAGGTCTAAAATCATAATGCCTAACTAAATTCATCGATCGTACACCAGAACGGCTAATTCGACGGAAAAATGCAAATTATTGAACAGCTATTAACTTTATGTGATATAGAATCTGATATATTAATATTTAAACGAAACATTTCATACCGACACATAGAGAGGATTTGAGAATTCATATATAGATAGGAAAGAAAATAGGTAAAACAAAAACCACTTCCTTGTTTAGCCACGTTGTTAATTTTCGAGTCATTAAGTACTTTTAGTCTTAAACCGTTTTGTTAACTATCTACAATTTAATAGGTCGCTAAAATTAATATAACTCCTGACACGAGGAAAGCAAGCAGCCGGGATTTATTGCGACTACACATGTGGATGCAACAGCACTTTTTTTGCGCATTTTCTTTAGAGAGAAGCTGTTTTAGTTGGTCTTCAATGCCCTGCTAAGCTTATTTGCTTCTGCATTCTTTATCTGGATCCTTTTTTTCCGAAACATTAATTTGACCAGGCTGATTGAAGTTGTGGTTGTCGTCTAGAGATAAAGCTTATTCAAGTACCACCATGAGCGAAGATGACAGCCCTGGCAATCTGCATCATAGAGGTCTCTTAAACAAGACCCCCAAATTTAGCAATTCGGGAAGGATGACCGGACAGTCAAAAATGTGTCCATTTGTCCGTTCTGTGTCCGGGCAGTTATCACAGTTCCTACAGATTCCTTCTATCAATGTTCAATCTTCTGTGATGGTCAGTTCCAAGTCTGATTATGGTTTTATTTACAAGTTGGTCTGCATTTATGTTTTGCAGCTGGTCTTTATTGGAATTCAGAGTTCCTTCAATCCGTATTTGGAAATAACATTTTCGTCCAAGAGGGTGACATTCACGTTAATAATATTGTTGAAATTTCGAGTCTCTTTTGTCAGTTTATTTGAATTCTTTGTTATCTGCGATGTTGACGTGCGTTGTCAACCATTAAAAAATTCAGTCCTTATCGTTTAGGCGAAAGTGGATTCTGTTGGTGATCAGAAAGCTTCCATCCAGGAGTGTCTGCCTTTGTATCACAATAGAAAGTGATTTCTTTTGCTTGCCCAGAAGTGGGAAAATGAATGGAAATACATGTGCCCCTCCCGCTACTGCCAGAAGCTCGCAAGTGAAGTAAGAGACTATGACTCCCGCGCCAATTTTGTGTTTATAAGAAGTATCGCCTGTGGTAGTCAGAAATACCCCTGACTTCATTAGTGATTTTAACATCAGATGAACTATCTGTATAAGCATGTACAGTCTTCTTTTGGATACTATTCAAAGGTCCTGATCCCTTTCGCTTTAATGATATCAAACAATTACCTTTTATTGAATGGATCTATTAGTTTATAAGGTATTCCTGCCACGTTCTTGTCGACTCTTGGTGGTGTAGTGGTCTACATACTGAGTCAGTATTCCAGAGGTTCGCGGTTAGACGCCCGGCGAAGGCTTTGTTAATTTTTCATCTTGCCTGCTTCCAAAAATACCTAATGTCTCTACAGTGGCGCCCGAGCTAAAAGGGTGGTGGATGATGATTTCTCCCCACCCAGGATTTGGCGACTGGGTCCCCTAAAAACCACAGTCGCCCTTTAAAAAGGGAAGTATATAAGTATTTCTCCCACCTTCTTGGCATGCCTTCGTGGTGTGGTGGTCTGCACACTAGACCGGTAATCCAGAGGTCCGCGGTTCGATTCTAAGCGAAGGATTTTTTAATGTTTCATCTCGACTGCTTCCAAAAATACCTAACGTCTCTACAAGTTGATTACTATTTTATAGCTTATAGGAAGCCTAGAAGAAAATGTTGTCACTTGGAAGATGAAAAAATTTGTTGTGATCGAGGCCGAGAACTTCTCTAATACCTCAAGGAGTTCTTAATATATTGAGAATAATTTTGCATAGAAGTTGACCTTTTAAATTTAGTGCTGCCTTTATAGCTTTCAAAGGTTTTCCTAATGATGTGTTCTCGTACACGGTTCGTTGCAATTTTTGTGTATTTTGTTAAATTGTATTATCTTCTTTTTTCCGAGCTTTCGAGAACACAATTCTGAATTACTTTTTAAATTATTGGGGGAAGTTCCTGCACTGGTAATGATTTTTGCGGCTTTTGATGAACATTCTAATTTTCCCAAGACAGTCCTGGCGGCATGAGAACAAATGAGAGAAGCCGGTCTAATTAATGAGGTGTATGTTGTTCTACGTTTCCCGGGTAGAGCTCCTCACTTTGTTCCGATAAGACGTCTAATGAATCTTGTTCTTGTCAATGTTCTCTCTCAGCACAGAGTTTGATGTGCTCAGTGAATCTCAATTCTGCATCTAAGGTGATTCCCAAGTATTTTAGACATGATGTCTTCCCTGTACATTTGCCTTCAATGTATAGGTTTGGATTGATTAGATCTCTGCGCTGTCTATATATTTAAAAGACACAGACAATACTCTTTTCTGCATTGATTATCAAACTCAAGCTCTGCATCTACCTTACGATCCTATTTAAGGATTCCTGGAATACTGTTTTACATTCATGAATATCCCTGTTGAAGTGCCAGATTGCGATGTCATCTGAGTGGCAGGCCACTTTTGTGTCTATGCCAAGGTTAAGATGAAAGTCGTTCGCATAACCAGAAGAGCAGGAGGCTCAGAAGAGAACTTTGTAGGACACCAGCAAGGAACTTCTTGCTGTGGGGTAGAGATAAGTTATAACGTGTTTTAATTGTTCAGTTCCTCAAAACATTATTTATTTAAATAATGGCATTTCCTCCAGTGCCGTGATACTAATACTACACCAGGCAGGATATTAAAGATGAAAGAAAATCAGTTTTTTTGCAGTTGGTACAAATTTTCTTTGATGAAAGTCGTGCTAAGGTTTTGGTAGGCGGCAGGTTTCAAGTTTCAAGTGATGTAGTCAATGTATGTCTGAAAAGCATTTGATGAGGTCTTGTGGACCCTCTAATTAAACTATTAATGTCATTATTTAACACAGTTCGCTCATGTAATCACTCACCACAGAAATGCAAGATGATATTTTAAATACTGTTAGCTTTTTTTTACGTCCTTACCGTGTGCCTTCGCGGTGTCACTAGAAAGCACGTCCGGCTGGGAATCCGAAGTTTTGAATTTCAAGTGCCGGCGAACGAACGTGATAATTTTCAACCGTTTCGTGCTCTGATAAAAAAGTAATAGACTCTACAGTAGGATTACCTTATTATTTCACTTAAAATGCAGAACAACTGTGATTCCACTCCTATTCTCCAAAAGCTAATTAAATTGTTAAGTTCTTATATAAAGAGTAATATACTGCATGACTTTTAAATTAGCTTTAATTAAAATTTAATTTAAATGTTATTTGTAAAACTAATATTGATAAGAACGGAAGAGAATTTGGTTGATCTTTACAATATGGTAACTGGTAGTTTGGCGACATTTTGGAGGCGATAAAGGTTACTACCTGGGACTTTGGTAATAATGTGAGCAGTACTCAGTTCCGATTACGCATTATTTTGTGTGAGGGAAATGAGAGATCATGGGATATGTCATGTGATATTAATGGACGAATTACGGTTCTTTAATCGGAAAAGGGGGGAAATCGGGAAAAAATCTGGAAATTTTGTATTTGGCTTTATTCGGTGTTGTGTGAAACAGTGTTGGTTAATTTTTTGATTCCATGGCCGTAACTAAAGTGAATTCGAAATGGGTATTTGGTGGTATTGCAAAGGGTAGTAATAAATGTTTGTTTAAGGTTGTGCGAGATAGAAATAAAGAAGAAAAGTTTATCGGACACGTAATCAAGATTCTGAAGAAGATTAGGTAAGTTAGCATTTTTAATTATTTGAGGATATTATTTTTATGCATTGTTCTAAATGTAAGGTGGAAAGGAATTTGGTATTATTGGGAAAACTGTTATTAGCAATGATTTAGTTTAAAGTAATTAGGATTGTAAGGTAAATTTTATTAATTTAATGTATGTGCTCATTTATATTTTAAGTAGTGTTTTTGAATTTAATTATATTTTAATGAAATGATAGTTATTTTGTGAATTTTATGTTTGTAGGAATTTGGTATACGTTTTAGTTGAAGTAAACGTGCATGGAAAAAATTTAAATATCTGACACTAAGTATTTGTAATGGTTGCGGTATGAATTCGTTGGTGACGTTTCTAATATAATAGATGATTTAGAGGTAAAAGTTTTGGATATTTTATTTATTTTATATGTGGAAATGTTCATATTTGGAAAGGGTAAATACTTTTTCGCGATCAGGTAATTTCATATATGTTCTTTTTACCGGGTTTAAAGATTGAGAAAATTGTCATGTATTTTCGTGAAATTTTTCTAATTTATGAGAAAAAATCAGTGTACATGGATATAGTGAAGAGTGTGCGCAATGCCATTTTTGTGCAATTCTGGGATGTTTTTTTAAGTAAAAATAAGTCGACGTGTACATGGTTTAGTGATATTTTAATTAAATGATAGTTATTTTGTGAATTTTATGTTTGTAGGAATTTGGTATACGTTTAAGTTGAAGTAAACGTGCATGGAAATAATTTAAATATTTGATACTAAGTATTTGTAATGCTTGCGGTATGAATTCGTTGGTGACGTATATAATGTAATAGATGATTTAGAGGTAAAAGTTTTTGGATATTTTATTTATTTTATATGTGGAAATGTTCATATTTGGAAAGGGTAAATACTTTTTCGCGATCAGGTAATTTCATATATGTTCTTTTTACCGGGTTTAAAGATTGAGAAAATTGTCATGTATTTTCGTGAAATTTTTCTAATTTATGAGAAAAAAGCAGTGTACATGGATGTAGTGAAGAGTGTGCGCAATGCCATTTTTGTGCAATTCTGGGATGTTTTTTTAAGTAAAAATAAGTCGGCGTGTACATAGTTTATGTGTATGTGTTATTTTGAAAAACGCGTAAGGAGTATGGTATTGTGCACTTTTTCCCAATTTTCCAGTGAATATTTATCATGATTAAGCAGTTTTGTTTGTTAAAATTTCTAGCATAAGTGTAATTCGGTTAGTAGATTGTTGGAAGAAGTGTTCAGTAGATAAAAAGAAAAGAAACATGTCTTTACTTCGTGAAGACAAAATGGCGGCATGGAAAAAAAAATAGAGGGTTGCTGTAGGAGAGTTGGTTGCCAAATTTTCGCCAAAAAATCGCCAAGTTACCATAATGTAAAGATCAACCGAGAATTTTATGCGAATTTCTTTTAGCAGTGAACTTTTAGAAATATGATTGCTCAGACTTGAAAACGCAAACACGACCCAATATTGAGGATAAAACAGTTATGTCATTCTAACTTAAATTCTTCTACTAATTAAGCAGTTATCAGTAGATATTAAGTAATCGACCTCGATAAAATGTTGCTCGTTAAATAATTAAGTTGACAAAGGAGTTCCTATTAGTGATCAGGCAATAATTAAAATCATCTTAGAAATATTAAGGAATTAGGCAAAATAGTGTTTTATGGAAAACACATTAAATAATCTCACAAATAAAGTTTTTAGCTTCTGAAGAAGAGAGGCTTCCGTAAAGTCGCTTCGAAAACGTCAGAGTTTTTTAAAACCTGCGTTATCCTAAAATTACCCTAAACTTAAACTGGCTACTTATTAACTTAAACTGGCATTAAACTTAAATTGGCTAGTTTGACTACTAAGTAGTATTACTACTACTACTTATTAGTTAAACTGGCTTTTAATACTGGGGTTTTTGTACAAATGTGTTTCGTTTTTGGGCATCCTTTGATGTTTTTTCTTCATTCACATTTCCAGAATTCAGTTGCTTGAATTCTGTTTTCGAAACAGTCCCATGTATTTCCAATAGAAATCAGGCCCGAATTCTTTGCGAGAGGCTGTACAATGTGTAGGTTTCCGTCAATACGCTTGTATTAATATTGTGGAGACCCTATTAGACTGGAGGCGAATTACCGCTTTAGTATAAAGCAAGTCTTATAAAGGTTAAAATAACCTTAAGACGTTTGGCGTGACATCTGCACATACGCAAAAAAAACAAAGAACTCCTTTTTCGCAAAGGAATTATAAAATTGATTTCAAATGGATTCCGATGAGATTTATTTCGTGGCGTCTACGTATATATATATATCTCGCATAACTCGAAACCAAGTAGCCTCAAAACGTTGAAATTTTGTTTATAAAATAGGTTTTGAGGGCCGTAAAAAATCGCCAAATTGTTTTTGATGCCAGTGCTGCCAAAAATAATTGCGGCAACCCTAACGCAAGAAAGGAAGTATAATTGTAAATATCTATTTACGATTGATGTTTTAATTTAGATGAAAATTAATTTCTTATAACACTTTTTTATTGTTATAATTTACATAAAAAAAGGCTAAACATGACTGAATGAAAGCATAAGAATAAATAACTATTTCAGATCATTATTATAATTTATACAAAAATTACTGAACATGACTGAATGTACGCCTGCATCGCTATTTCGCTACCGAGTTATCCCTAAAGCATAATTTCATCTCGTTGGTTGTTCAAACATGATTTTCTATAATAAATGATGCCTTTTTCTTTGAAAAAATTTCTCGGTTAACGTGCAGAATCGCCCACTTATTTGTTTCCCGCTTTTTACAAGGGTAAAAACAATTGAATTTTGTCAATTTTCTTTTACTTTTTAAGTGAAAATAGGTCGATGTGTACATAGATAAAGTCAAGCGTGTGCGCAGTGCCATTTTTGTGCAATTCTGGGATTTTTTTAAGTGAAAATGGGTCGATGTGTACATGGATACCGAGTATGTGCAATTCTTAAAATGCGTCAAGGAGTGTGTGATTCTATTGCACACTTTTCGTCATGGGCAATTCCCAAATTCTTTCCATAGCATATCAAAAAAGAATTTAAAATCAAAAAAGGATTTAAAATTTAAACTAGTATTTCAATGGCATCTTAAGAAATATAGAACTATATAAACTTACGGAAACTGAAATCAGCGCGTATGCCTGATTTGGCGCGCTGTTAAATGGGCGCTTTGCTAGATTTGGAGCATTTCCGCATACATTTTTGCTGCAATTTTTTTACGGTCCTCGAAACGGAATAGTACCATTAAATATATAAGACTATTATAACTTGCCAATAATAAAATATAAATAAGACTGCTCTAACCTATAGTTGTGCACCTCCTATTTTGGTTGCAATCGGCCGTCGCAAAAGTATACATATATATATATATATATGTGGGTGTGTGTGTGTGCAGAAAAGGCATACGCAATGTTCCGTGGACTCTTTGAGCTAATCAAAATCGAAGAAATTTTCCTTTTTCCGTCTTTGTTTCCGCCAGCATGAAAGCACAGACGAATTTTTCCCTACCAAACGAGAGAAAGTAAATGTTTGTTGTTTAGTGCGGATTGTGTTGCCATTTATTATGTTTTAGTCAAACCAAAGGTACGTTTTCTGCTCCGAAGCTCATATTTAGTTCCGAGTTTATAGTATACTTGTGCATTAAATATACATTAATGTTTTTACCCAAAACGTAATGCATAGTGAAGTTTCTGATTAATTTAGAGAGTTGAGTTCTTTTGCTAACTAGACCGCTCATTGTTGCGCAAAGTTTGAGTTACATTTTAATTGGTCCAACTTCGTTTAATCTTTATTTAATATTTATTTTTTACTTAATTTTCCTCAATGTTTATTGAATGTAAGCGTCAAGCCTCAAAATGTCGATACAACATCAAAGTTGTAATGAATATGTAATTTTTAACTCTGCCATTCGCATTCCTAACAATTTCCTACAGCAGCGAGCTTCCCCGCATTCGCTCCGAAGGTTTGCTAGTGTTTCACAGAAATGCGGCTAAGAGTGTATAACACCCCACAATGCAGCAGCATTCTGTCTGAGCAATGCTTTCTGCAACTCAGTCGCTTTAGCACTGCTATACTTTGCTTTAGCCAAAGAAGAAATTTTTTGAGAAGATGCAGCTTTCTCTCATGGTCTTAATGTTAGCTACCAATAAATAGCAAACGTCCATTTTGTGTGTATTATGGGTTTATATATATATATATGGGTTTATATATATATATGGGTATTATATTATATATATATATATATGGGATGTATATTATATATATATGGGACAAATATGGGTTTCCTAAATCAAATCATCGCTTTTTAGCGATGATTTGATTTAGAAAAACACTTGCTTTATTGAAACAGGAAGACATACGTAGCATAATTAATCAAATGCTCTTGAAAAATATATTCATTGCATTTAATTCTGTACTTTCATATTATCAAACATTAATCAATGTACTTAAAATGAGTTTCTTCCGGTATGCGTCTCATCCATTTTCTCATTCAGTTTTCCAAGAGGAATTCTTCGAGTAACAGCTTTTCCACATCGCTGATTTCCATGATTGGGATATCTTTAACAATTTCTTGTCTCAAGCTTCTTGGACACATAGTCTTCTTTTCCATATAGTCAATACGACGGTTAATTTCTAGAACGGCATGCTTGACTGCACTGCCACATGGTACGAAAACAGCTTCAACGGCACAAACAACATCATAAGCGAAGCTCCTGTAAAAAAAAAAAAAAAAAAAAAAAAAGCTGCATATTAACTAAAATATATTCATGCTTTTGCAGAAATTAAACTTCTGTGTGTACATAACACAGATGGACATCACTGCAAATACATTCGTTGCCTTTTGTTTCTTTGCCTTTACGTAAGTCCTCCATTCGTTTTTAGCAATGAAGGACACATATGGGTTAACGGTTAGGCTAAGTATTTGATATGGCAAAATTATGAAGGCTATCTTCCTAACAGAAGGGATGCCTTGGTGGAGGACGTTCTGAGGGAAACTGGCTTGTGATCATGTTACACATGGGGAAAATCGCGAAAAGCAAACAGACAAAGTTTTCCTGGGTTTGGACACAAGCTAGGTCGAACTACGAGTTTTCAGCGGTCTTAACCATTTGACCACTGATGGGCATTAAATCGGTTAACGATAAAATTAGCTTAATTTTTGGACCTAAGACGTATACTCAGGAAATGTAACTGAAAAAAGTTTGAAAATGAGCTTTTAATTTAGCCAATGAAATGTCCTTATAATTCGTCTTTGCTATTATAACGCTTCATGTCTGATTAGATTACCGACTCTTTATTGATTGCTTATACACTGCGTTCAACAGAACCTGCTCTTATTATCAAAACCGCCGGTATATAAAGTGTGTTTATAGATTTTTAGAACGACTTCCGCAAAGAATTATTTAAAAAAAAATAAGTTGGTATAGAAATTTCTGAAAATACGTTATTATTTGCAGTGAGTCATATCGTCTACTATTTTTTAATTTATTCTTCTTCTAAAATGTACCGTGTAAGCAAGCTGTGAGATGAAGGACGTGTTTTCCAAAGAGAAATATTTATATTTTATTATTTGAATATAGTATTAAAATTTCTATGCACAAAACAAGCAACATTATTGATCGTAAAGCGCAAAACTGTCAATCATTGCTTCGATATGGAAAGAAGACTCCAAACGCATACCCGAAAAAGGTACATATTGTTTCTAATGTTTCCGAAAGTAAATCTTTGGTAAAAGAGGAGCTCTTCCGAAGCAGAAATCAATTGCAAAGACAAATGCATCTGTAGGAGCAACAACTATAATAACAAAACAAGATTTATTACTTAATAAAGCTAAAAGAACATAATGTGTATTAGTTTTTTCGAGGCATGTTTCTCAACGCAGACCCCCTCTACGCGTATCCAAAAATCTACTAGGTATATTATTGTTTTTAATAGTAGATCAGCCTGAAAATCTTTTTTTTTTTTCATGTTTAGATGAGTAGAATTTTTATTTAACGTATTTTCAGTCTGCTGCGATGTATCGAAAGTGTTAATACCAACAAATGATTTGAAATTAATGAAACAATGGGTTGAATTTTGGGAAAATTACAAACTCTATTTCCGAAATTATATTAAAAAAAATCATTGGTATTTTCAAAATATTTAATTGTTTGAATTTCTTTTTATTTCTCTATATAGCTCTATAGATTTGTAAATTGGCAAATGTTAAATTGCTTTATTTGCGATATTCACAAATTTAACTAATATGTTAGAACTAATTATTCGACTAACATATGGTTATATTGGAAGGATTAACCCAATCATACAAAACAGCTGAAGTATCACACAACAATGATATATAATAAAAGAGAACAAACATCTGAAGTAACAACTAGAACAAATATACATGGGAGTAATAAGTTAAAATTTTAAACAACAAACAAAGGAACATAAGATAGTATGTACTCTTTACAAGGAGTTCATTGAAGTTCTGGCATTCCAGTATAGTTTGCTTATCTGGCTGGCATCTACTAGATAGAAGTATGCCAATTCTGTTAATATGATGTGCCATTCATTCGTGACCTGTTGCAGTCTGAAGTTTCCCGCATCCTCTTTACAGGGTTTTTGACAAAACGTTTTCCATGTGTCGTGAATGTTATCCGAGGAAATGCCAGTTGATTTTGCTGCCTAGTCAAGTTTAAGAGTACCTATTAATTTCTCAAAAATGTGCTTTTAAAGTGACTCTGAAAGTGGTTTGTTGTCTTGTGGATTAAGTGTTCCTCTCTTGACGAGTGAGTCTGCTTTTTCGTTACCGTCTATAGCTACCATGGAGGTAGGAAGTAAGATGGAGTCGCTCTAAACAAGTTTCTCCGTACCCTGCTCTGAAGCACCGGCGATCCCTACGTGGTGACCAAAACATTGTGTCATTTACCATTGAGTTCTATGGGATTTGACGCGTTCGGGTGTAAATATTTTGTAATTACGTCGCAAATATACATATAATGTATATATTTTCTTTTTCTACAACACTTGAGAGTCCTAAGTATGTGAAAACAACATATTTTTAAACAACATTTCATTCTGAACGAATTAAATGCTATAACTTTTCACAGGACAGTTTTCTCAGAATGGTTTAATTTGAATGAAATATTTTTCACAAGTTTTCGTTAATTACATTAGAAAAAAAAAATTAAGGTAATTCGATTTTATTCGGTTAAGGTACAAAAATTAAGATCAAAGTTTATTGTATTATTAATATTAAAATTATGCATTATTTCTTTTCTGTTTATAGAGCTTCTTCCTAAAATACTTTCTTAAATATGACATGATTTTTGGCTTCTTTTAAATCGAAAAATATAAGTCAATTTATAATTAATGCTCTATTCGGTTCATTTTAAATTAGAGAATTATTAGGAATTAGCGAAATACTTAAATATAAGTATTTCGCTAATTCCTAATAATTAAATAGTATTAAATAGTATTTGACTTTCTCTGAACATTTCTGAAAGGGAATAAAATAAGTTTTTTTTAAGTATTATTTAAAACTTGTAACTGAGTTATTATAAAATGTAAAGGGAATAATTCTTTTAATTATACTTATCAGATTTTTTTTTTTTACCCTTCATTTCAACAATACACATTCCCAAAACTCTTTATTACGTTCTTAAGTGCGCATCTCATAGCATTTGCTTTACAAATACCTTTTAACAGATTGCTTTCCAATACGAACAATTCTTGCTTAAATAGTTTTATAACGTATTTGTCAACAGGATTTCAATTTATGTTTTACAATTCAATATTAAGGTTATTATATATTTAGATATATTTATAATCATTATAAATTAGATACATTTAATCATTAGATTTCTTCACAGTACTTTCACAGTTGTTTATAAGTGAATAAATTCTTCATTTCAATACATTTATAAAATATTTAATGAATATTTAAGTATTTTGTCAAAGGCAGATACATGCTTTTTGCAAGCACATGCATAAATACCCATACATATATCCTATTTATCATTTCCGGCATGTGCAAATCTTTAATTTCTGTGCATTCACTGTATTTTTCGTGTAAAGTAATTTACACTAATTTAGCATACACCTGAAAGTTTATATAAAAATATATATGAATATAATTTGAATGAAAATTATAAGTATTATTTTTAATAACCACTCAAAGGTCAGTTTTCTTCAAAATTCCTCCACGATGGCATCTCTCTCTTTAGGCAGATAGCCCTTGCATGCGTTACTCTATTTAATAAAAACTTAATCTGACCTATGTGCCTAATTACAAATATTTTAACATACATAATTTTATATTTACATTTAGCCATCAAGTTTCAAACTTTTCAAATCTTCTAGAAAATAAATTTTGGCAGATCTCTTTTAGCAATTTTCTTAAAATTTATATTTTTGTAGTGCAACTGCTTAGAATTTTATATAAAACAAATTCATAATCAAAATGCTGTTGTTAGTTATCGAAAAATAACCAAGATGTGATTTTTGCGTAAATGTCAGTAAACTATACAAATTGCTATTATCCATCACACTATGAATGTTTCTTTCATGCGAGAGTGTCCCTTTTTCGATTTCTATGGAACTGTCGTGTGTCGAAATACTATCAGAATCTTGTCAAGCGAGCTTCTGAATGTAAACAAAGAACACCCCGCCTGGTGACCCAAGCTTCAAAGCAGTGCTTCACTTCTAGCGCGGAATGGCCCCTCCTCCCTTTCCTACCTCCATGATAGCTACTTGTGAGGGAGGCAATGATATCCTTAATTCACACGTGCCTCCTGCTACACGTGCTAAATGAGTAACAACTGTGATTAAGACGGCTCAGCGTAAAGCTATTTATAATATATTTTTGTTTGCCCTGAAGTTCAAAATTGAGTTTATTCGCTTTAGTTGTCACGAGTTTTGGAAAGGCTAAATCAGATACCAAACTATGGTCACAGTTTCGTTTGTAGTTTCTAAATACTGTTTTATCTGTGCAAGAAGCTCTAAAAACCGTTATGCGACATTTCGTCTACTTTACCATCTAATTTCAAAATGTAACTGTAAAGTTCTATATTCAGCATCAATTTTATGAATAAGCACTTTGTAGTGAATACAATTTAGAATTTTAAAACAACTTTCATCTGGTGTCTTTTTCACATACTCACTGTTGATGTGTGACGTTACCACTTTTGTAACGCAAAGTTTGGTATGTCTGCATCATTCTGGCATAATGCGGTGAAACCGACAGGAGAACTAATCATAGAAGGTGCAAAGTATTATTACAGACATAAGTTTTGGAAGAGGAGGATAATTTTGGTTGTATGGTTTTTAAGGTACAAAATCAATTCCGCGTGCCTTTCAATGATAAAACGTCAGGGTATCTTCCTACACTGAGCAAGATCGTTAAAGATGATCCGTATAAAAATATCGCTTTGCAGTTATCTGTTGATTCATCGCGATGTAATGATTACACTGAGCAAACTTTCCCAGCAAGGTTGACGCGCAACCCCTACAGTAAAATATCGTGTCGGCTAGTATAAAATAGAGTGTCTGAGAGTGCTGTGCGGCGTAACTAGAATTCAGCTTTTCCTTTCTTCTCTTAGCACTTGACTTCATAAGACTTAGAAGGAGCCATATGTGGAATGGAAGCCGCATCGAAAGGTCGCGAGCTATGGGTGGGGCATCCCTGGCATATAAACTGTATTCACGAGGTCCTGCCTTTATATTCAAAACTGTTGGCAGTAGAGATATACTTTCCACAGTAGAGTTATTCAGTTGGCAGTAGAGATATTCAAACAGTTGGCAGTAGAGATAAATATTTTAAAAATAACGACGAACATTTTATATTTCCCTCATTTACTGATTCATCTAATCATATTCAGGAAGATCTTATAAATCTTACAATATAAAATGCATAACTGTCATACAATAAATATTTCCCAAGGTATTTTTGGTTTTAAAGTTGGAAATCATATAAGGGAAACACTACACAAATAAAAGGATGAAGTGCTTGTATTTCTACCAATATGTCTTTAAGTCGAATTCACTAAGAAACATTACGTACTAGTGGTTTAGATGAAGTACATAAAATTGCAGAAATTAAGTCACGTCGTCTTCAGAATGAATATATAACTGTACTTATTTTTTATCATAAAGGCCCGATTTTTTGTTTTGTTAAAATTAGAAAAACAAAAATGCATGATTGGAGCATATGATGTTTATTTACCATGCAAATCATTTTCATCCATTTCACAATTTAGAAACATATTACGGAACCGCATGCAAATTAAAGGACGAAAGATTTAATCTCTATTTCTTTAAATCAACAGATACTTTTAAAAAATAAAATGTTTCTGTGAGAAACATTACGTACTAGTGGTTTAGATGAAATGTGTAAAATTGTAGTAATTTAAAATTAAAGTTATCTTTAGGATGAAGATTTTAGGATGAAGATTATTTTTAACATCTTTAGGATGAAGATTATTTTTAACATAAATGTCCGATTTTTAGTAGAAATTAGAAAAATAAAAGGCATCAGTGGGGAATATGAAATATATTTACATGCACAAAAATTTCTTCCAGTCCTCATCGGAAAATTCTTGACCCGTAAGATTCAGGTGTTCTCTGTAGGCATTATTCACTGTCCTGGTTTTTTCGTAACACTCTTTGATTACGTTTTCTTTGATGCATCCTATATTGGGCCCAATAACTGTTTAGAATAGAAAAATGCTATTGAGTAAAAATATATTTTAAATTAGTTTTGAATGTGTTAAATTTGCAATTTATAAGAACTCAAAATACAATCTAATATTATACATCAGAATACATCAATACAATTTCAAGAAATTTAAAAATATTTTAAAAGAATTTAAAATTTCAAAACATCACAATCTGAAATGCATATAATATTTTTGTACTTCTGTACTATGCCGTCGACCATTGGCAGTTATTGCGTAAAATATACGTCGATCCTATTCAACTGAACATTCACCGTGAAAGATGGTCTACCGTGAAAATTGGCTACGATCGAAGCAAGTCGGGGGTGATGTCGACAAAACTGAATCAGTCGTTTTTATACAATTATAAGGGGAATTTCGCTTTTCTAGTTATTAAACAATTAGTGTTAGACCAGCTTCAAGTTTGCGCTTATAAAATCAGAAGAGTACATAATAGTACAAATTGACGAAATAATTTTAGAAAACAAAGGGTTGAAATAGTGGTTGTGTATTACATAAAGAGGTGTCAGTTACTTCAGAATTCCTCATGTACTACTGGCGCAAAATTGTCGGGATCGCCTCTAATTCCCATGGTATGATGGCGGCCAACTTTTACGGCAAGTATAATACGTAAGATACCAGTTTTTACATGGAAAGTTAAATTAAAGGTGTTTACTCTTCACAGAAAGACAATTTTTGCTTAGCCGTTTGACTTTTAAGTAGTCCGATAATGTATATAGTAAATTATAGATAAAAAAAAACCAAGATCTATGGAAAAACTTTGTTGGGAAAAGAATAACTAATAACTAAACATTTTTTACCTTCATTAAGGCTGGAGCCTTTGCGGCAGATATCTTGCAGAGCGTCAATAATTAGAGTAATCTCTCCAAGCTCGTCTGATTCGCATTTCATTGCATGTTCCTTCTTGCAGTTAGCCCCGTCCAATAAAATACTGACAAAAGTGAAAATATTTTTAAATGCACAGATATTTTAGAATTTTGCAAAATTTTTAAAAATCGAATTAAACTTAATTGCGTGCATAAAAATTTATTACATAGAATATTGCCAACCTCCCGGTATAACGATTATTGACGCTGACTGCCATACCAACGGACCCGCGATCGAACTTCGAAAAAGTATGGATGTTTATTAAGGGTATAAAAGGCACTCAAAATACACGGCACTCGAGGAGCACTTAAAATACACGGCACTCGAAAAGCACTTAAAATACACGGCAAGCCGAATATCCCATTGAGAGGTTATTTGTAGGTAAAGAGAGATAGAGGACCCTCGAACTGAACTACTAGTTAACTATGTTCAGAAATATCTTAAACACCGGTGGTAGTAAAGAGGCGCTGGGGCTAGCTTTCACTTGTACACTACATAGAATAATAAAATATTTCGGTGATGATTAAGGTTTAGATTACTCTTATCTGGATTATGACACAAGGGATACCTGTTTAGGTGTAAAGCTGCCATTTTTGGAGAAGGTTTTAAGAGAAACTCGCTAGTAACGTTTGTCACTCATGGAAAAAATCCCCAGGTCTTTCATGCGGCCAACCTCAGTCAACGCGACATTACCCGGGTCGGTTTGGTTGCTTTATTTAATTATGGCAAGGTATTTCAAAGTTGTCTACCTAAGGAGAAGGATGCATTCGTGGAGGGCGTTTTAAGGGAAACTGGGTCGTATACATGTTAACCATGCGACATGCGACGGAGGACGTGGGCACCAGCCCTTTACCATATGGTTAATTGGTGTAGTGCCACGTCCACCAGTATCTAAAGTTGAACTTGAGGGCCACACGAGGGTATCGCACGGGCCGAAACCCAGCACCCGTGTATCCCTAGGACGGTCCCCCTGAACAAAGCGCCCTCGGGATTTCTCCCATCCGCTGTCCGAGCTCTGTATTGTTGTTGTATGTATAGAAAATTACTGGCCTAACAAAGCATCACGCATTTTGCAAGCTGGGAAGTAGCAGTATTGATAATGGCTCATTACACATTTTGACAACTACTGCTCGTACCAATGGATACTTCTACATTTACGTAATTGTACTTACATTATATACATTACCTTCTTAATCATCATTACTTATAACATTTTACATATTTTATCCTTATTGGGACCCAAATTACTTATTTTGAATTATTAGAAGTATTGAAAATCATATTGGCATCGTTCTTACTTCAGTAATCTTTGCGTACTACATTTGAGCCCACAAATTAAGTTGGGTCTTAATTCAGTTACATAAATATCAAGGACTCGGACTTAGATTTCACTTATTGCGCCTGACTGGGGAAAGATAAAATATTCTACGGTACAAGATTATATACATGCAGGGGTAGGATATGGAAACAGTAAGATGATAATGCATAAAGCAATTATATGTGGAGACATGCTGAAATATAACATACCAACAAAGATATCATCGATACATTACTCATACGTTACATGAAAATCAATAATTAACATAGTACTATACCTACATTAATCAAACATTACCTAAATATCAAAGACTGAGGCACTAGTGCATTAAAATTCATTTACTACTCCAACAGGGGCGCTTAAAATTCATGGTACATAGTGATTTACATGCAGGGTAAAAGAGGAAATTTACTTACAATTAGTACACATATCAAAATACATTAACTTTTGTTACGTAAACATTAGTGACTTGGATACTATGTTTATACATGTTAACTATGGATAAACAAAAAAAAAAAAACCTCGGCCTCTGGTGGGCACAGATGAAACTTACCCGGGTCAAACTAACAGTGTTTAAGGATCGTTTCGCTCAGCTGCTGATGGGACACAAAGTAATCAAAAGTTTTAATGTTAATTGCCATAGCACACAATATTTAACATGCTGGTTACCAATATATTCTTAAGCAATCTGATGAATAATATTTTATGAAATTCCTCTGATGTAAGAAATGTCATAATGACCAACGTACTCATTTATTAAGAAATTGACAATAGCAAGAAAAGAACCGATGACATTAAAAACAAAAAATAACGAGTGATCTATTCAAATATTAACAATTATCTTTGCTTCTTTCGATGAGCAAGACAACAATAAAGCTGTGAATAATGAAATTATGAATTACTGGAGTAATAATTAATGTCTTAAATTAATTGTTGTTGTTGCTAATCCTCGAGGCCAGCTTCTGCTAGAGGAGATCCACAAGTTTATTCACTTTCAAAATAGGGATCTTTAATCTTAAAACAGCATAGGGAACTTATCATCGTAGGACAGGTCATCGTAGGACAAACCCAGACACCTAAGAGTATGTGCCGCAGAAACCTGCTCATTGTTACATTTCGGACACACCAGGTGGGTTTTTTTGACCACGCAGGAAGGCAAGATGGCCACTAAGAAAGCGGGACAGTGCCATCTGGGTGCATCCGTCAGTTCATAGCGAGGGATCCACCAGAGGATTCAACACGGTACCAAGAATATGCCGAAGGGACAAACCAAGTGATTTTATCAGTATATTGTCTGTCAGAAGACGGCTCAAGGTAAGTCAGATAATTAGAAGTAGCCATGACCTCCCCGGAACCTTTCTTCAATAAAACATCCGTCTCCTCATTTTCCCAAATGTCCACATGTGAGATCCTCTGAATGTGGGTCCAGAGGACGAGAGGATGAAAAGGTGCTTACAAGAGGATGAAGAGGTGCTCTTGTGATGAAGAGATGCTTGCATGCGACGGGGGACGTCGGCACCACCCCTCTACCGTAGGTTAATTGGTGTAGCACCATGTCCACCAATATCTAGAGACGGATCTGAGAGGGCACATGAGGGTCCCGCACGGGATGCTGAAATCCGGCGTCCGGCGCATCCAGAGAACGGTCCCACAGACCAAAAGCGCCCTCCGAGTAGTGCTCTCATCCCTTCATACAGGCTTCGGTATTTATTGATATTCATTGTGGCCATACAAGGGTCATCACTGCTTTGCAGGCTGTAATGAATACATAGTATTATATTGAATGATTGTGGATTACACTGAAGGAATACATTATACATACGGTACATAAAAATCAATGACTGAGGTACTATGCGTATATTAACAGGACATTACATAAATATCAAGGACCGAGGCTCTAGTATGTTTACAAGAGGACGAGATTTGTTTGATCGAGGTTAGTGAGAATTGAAGTTTCAATTTTGTCATCAACATTACACCAGTTTGACAAATATTGGATGGCACTACGACTATCAGTCATAAACGAGTTGCCTTTAGGGTCTATAAAAGACATTATATAGCTCAGTACCTCATCGATAGCAACGATAGCAACGAGTTCATTTTTAAAAACTGAACTAAAGTCAGAAATTCTTTTCTTTATTTTAAAAATTCTATTAGGATCTCTGATAAGTACTCCAACTACCAGTATGGGAATCTTCATTTTTGCTGCCATCAGTATACATAAGCGTAGTGCTCTTTGGTTTAATTGAACAGCAATTAACTTCGTAAATAAAGACAGTAATGATAATTATTTAACATTTGGATCACCGAGTAACAAAATTATTCATTATGCATTTCGGCAAATACAATTGATGTGTACTGGGCGGTAAACAGAACAGCTCGGGCCAGAGAGCCGTTTCAATGAATGGGTAGGCTATGATAAACGTTTTCAAGGTTTTCGCAAAATATAAAGTAGATCTGAGCCTGTTGTTTCACAAAGTTTTCCACGAAATCATCCTTTCCATGGCAAGAGGACCTGGCTTGCTTTGTTTTAATTTAAAATCAGTTATTAACTATCTGAGTTTTAATATTCATAGCTAGCTTCTTTGTCATCATACGGTTAGAAAGAGTAACATAAAATATATTTTAAGTAATTTACGGGTATTTACTGAACGGTTTCAAATTCTGTGTAAGAACTCGCTCTTGAGTGAAAAAAATGCGCTTACTATTTTATGCAATTTTCCTTTAGACACAAACCTTACTTTCGTGTCCGTATGAGTCTTCAAACGTTGCCATCGGATATTATCATTGGGTATTATGTTTAAAGAAATAATGTAGCGAATATAAAAAAGGCATGCCATGTAAAATATTTTTAACTTCAATGTGCCATTTTATTTTTATTTGGCGAAGCGTAAGATATTTAATTTGCCTATTACTTATTAAGAAACTTAGCGATTTAAAAACAATAAACGAGGTTCTTTATCACTCGTATTTATTACAAGCTGGATCCTTGAAATGGCACTAGCTAAATTTATAAAAATTAACAATTTTTATTTTAGGCTACTAGTGGCTGATTATTTGGAACGTGAAACGGACAAAAAAGTGATTCGACGCAAAAGTGAGGTTCGAGAATAATAGCTTTTCTGAGCTAAAAATGCATGACAATACTTACGATTTTAGGGAAAATCCTAAATATATGGTATTTTTAAATTTATGAATCTGCTTTTTAATTATATGTAACACATATCCGAAGTAAATAATAGTTAACAAGAAACATAACGAAAAAACGTTCTGTCAACAGAAGCGAGTCCAGATCTTATAAATAAACTGCGAACTAATACGCTAGAGAATAAAAACTTTAAACAACCGACTGATACGACGCGTTAAAGTTCTGAATCCCCTGAGTTTTTTTTTTAAGATTTCCTCCCCTCCCCACCACTATCACGATTACGAAACAATAATTTTCCACAGATTGCCTTCATTTGTCTTCTTAAATTACAGAAATTTCATTAAATGCATCATAAAGCTTCAAAGATCAGACATTTTATCAAGAACATCTATGATCACTTGAAAAACTCTGTTTTATAATAATCATGACACGTAATATTTTATTGCAATATAAGGTATTTTCTCCCTTGTTCTACGATGCCTTCGTGGTGTAATGGTAGCACAGCCTTTGAAATCTCGGCGGCATTGCTCATTTTCCATGTCATCTGCTTCAAATAACCTAATGACTTTACAGCAAAAAAGGTTTGTTATCATAAACGCTCGGTCTGTAGGTGAGAAGTCCAAACTTCACCTTGGCTGTGATCATATTAAAATCAAATTAAATTACGGCCATTCTTTATTGTTTGTTCTACTTCGGTAAAATATTTAAATTATCGTTATACCCGTAAAATGACTCTTTATTCTTTTGCCCAGCATACTATCATTGAATTTTAATTTCCATTTCACTCCAAAACAATGAAGATAGCTGGTAAATTTACAAAACCATGGCCTTTGGCTAGAATTCTAGTTTGGAGGGTTCGCTTCCCTGGCTCGGCTGAGATATCGGGTACACATGAGCTACCGAAGTCGATCATTAACTTCATATAATTTAGATTTAAAAAGATGACTACATTTAAAACAGTCTTTTCTTTCTTCCTTATTAGATTTTTAGATCTGTAGAAAATTAAAAACATTTCTTTTTCCATTAGCATTGAATTGTTACGCACTTCCTTCGCATTAAGGAAACTTGTATTACATTTCTCTGGCAGCACAAAGAAATTTCAATCTTGCATAGTTAAAATTACGCAGGAAAATAAAATTTTAGAATTTAAGTAACTTACGGGCATTGCTCGTCTAATTCTTTCTCGTTGTTTGGGATCTCGAAAGGTACACCAGAATCACATACTTCCCAAATGCCCTTGTCGCAAATGTCGTCCTTTCCTAGAGCTGACACATTAGAAAGAAATAAAAAATGAGGAGGCTTTTATTAAGTACGAATATCAACTGTTGTATTCTATATTACTTATATTTTATATTCAGGTTCAAATTCCCTTATAAATAAGGTAGCAAAAACGCTAGAGACCGTTAGTTGCAAATTTCTTAAACAGGCTAAAAGAGCTGCTGGCTGTATAATATTGGACAGTAAATCCTCTCCTAAGTAAAATCAATGAGAAAATTGAGCTCATTTATGAAATGGAAAACGGCTTACAAAAACAGTAAGTTTTAAATTGTTCAATATTTGCAAAAACGTACGAACACTGTAATATCTTAAAAAAAATGTTTGAAAGCCTAGAAGCATATTTAGGTCTTAAAAACTAAGGACATCTGGTTGGTATATATGCAAGCTCGAAAATATAAGAAATATAAGAGAGCGATTCTTAAATTTAACAGTCAAACATTTCAAAAAATTTGTTTATGCTATAGAAAGTTTTAGAGTAGTGCTGGTTGTTGAGTTTTGTTGCACTTTAAAGCGTGACCGACAGCAAAAAAAAAAAAAAAAACTGGCTATACTTCATTTAAAGTTAGACATTTCCTTGAACATACGCACTACAATTAGTAGTTTTAACATTAATATGCATATAAGGCAATATGAAGCTCAGAATCTATATAAAGAGAGAGAAGAACGTCTGTTAGTGTGTTTGTTTGTTCGCGATTAACTCATTCACTATTATATTATAGCTATCGTCAACAAACTTTCTACAATTCTTTTCTGGGTCCTAGGAAAGAGCTAAAATCAGAGATGTTAATTAAAAACTCTGAAATCGCTAATTTTCTCTCTCATTTTCCCGAGTGGCAACACTCTCGTACGCTGAAAATAAAGTCCGCTTTATTTCGAGGAGTGTTGCCACTGCTCGCTTTCAAAACGTAGAGTTTGTTAATAAAGAAAATTCTAAGTTTTAGAATGAAATAAAAATAATATTGCCAAATTTTAAATACGTTATTCTGATTCCAAAAATTCACGGGAAGTCTTTTCGACTGTTCTCATCTTCGACTTTGATCAGCTAACATATTAATTAAAAACCACGAAAACGCTAGTATTCGCACTCACCTTTCCGAGTGCACTGGCGATATAAAATGCTACTCCTCGCTTTCGAAAAGTGTTGCCACTCCTTGCTGTCAAATCGTAGAGTGTGTTAATCAAAAATTTGCAAGTTTTACAGTATATATATATAGAGAGAGAGAGAGAGAATAATGTTTTTTGTGCTTTTGTGTGTTTTGTGCTTGTTCGCTTTATTGATTTTTGATCAATTCTTATAAATGTTTTGCCACATTTAATCCACTATAACTGAATATAGGTGAAATATTGGATGGAACTTAAGGTTTTACGCACATTTCATTAAAAAGACGAAAATCATTATAAACTGCGTGCCATTGTTGCTGATATGATGAAAGAAAGTTAGTTTATTTTCTCTACCGAAATCTTTTATGTGGGTTCCATCTCGCATTAGACTGAAAAATGTCTGACTATGAATCGTTCTTTTGCATTGGTTATTACAGTAGCATTACAGCGATATCGTTCTCTCTGTTATTTGATGCAATACTCTCAATCTAACTTTACGGGTATCGGGTACTTCCGCTAGTGTTAAATAATTAAATGCAAAATCATATTTCATATTTCAAACAGATTTAGGAAGCCTTTAATTCACAAGATGTATTTAAAATGTATGCCAGCATAAAATTATTTGATGATAAATGAAACCATTCGAAACTTAATTATGGTATGTCAGCATGTGATTTTTTAAAACTTAGAACGTCTTATAATTATTTGACTGATGTTTTTACTGAGATGTAATATTAAACTGTAGACGTAGGCAGAATGCGAAGGACACGCTTTAAAAGAACTTAATTACATCCATTGCAATATTTGTTACTTAAGATACAATTTCAAGTTTTGCAGTTTCTTTATTACGATATTTTCGAAACTAGAATAAAATACTGCAGGCCTTATTATTATGAATATAATATAATGCAGGTAATGTACAGTATACTATTTTTTAAAAATGCACAATCAAGCAACCTTTACTAAAATAAAAGAAACGTTAAACATTATTATGTAGCCTTCAACATAACGTTCTATAATTCAAAATACGTGGCTCTTGCCGTCATTATTGATAATCTAATTAAGAATTTTGAAAAAGATATGAAATGCAAAAATGTTTTTAAATATTTAAGCAAGCAAATTCATGAATTGTTTCTCAAACTTGAGTTGATACTAAAGCATAAAAAAAGACTTAAAAGAATGCTTCTCATACTTGAAAGAATACTATAAATGTGAGGAAATTTTGATATCTCTATCTTATTTTAAATATTTTTCCATTATCAATTCTGCCAAAAGTAGATATCAAACCGTCTTCTTAACTGCAAATACTGATTTATTAAACAACGTGTGTCTTACCTGTAGAAGCGATGGCAAAAGCGGTTGCAATGAGAACCCACATGTTCATTTGAGAGTCGATGAAGAGAAGTAAATCTCGAACGATCCTCAAAGCTTTATATATTAAAATAACATTACAATTGATCTTTTGTATGCATATCTAATTAAGTTGCGGATATATGTAATCTACTTCCTTTGCGATCTCTCTGTCTACCGGATGCCCAATGGCAACTACACAACACTGAATATAACAAATTTGTTAACTTTAATTAGGTTGGCAACAATAGTTACTTTTTACTTCCTTCTACGAAGTAAACGAAGTATTGTAATAGCAAAAAATTCCAGGCACCATATTTCAACGAAAATATACATTTTGACCGCTATCGAATGCAATTTAATGATGTTTTTGCATGAAATCTGTACGTATGCACGGAATAAAGGACTCTTTTTGTTCCCCCCAAAAAATTATGAAACTGATTCAAAACCGAATCATTTAAAAGAGATTTTTTCTGTGGTATGTATGCATGTATGTATCTCGCATAACTCAAGAACGAGTAACCTCAGAACGTTGAAATTTTGTATATAGGACAGCTATAGGATGTATTCGTACACCTCTCTTTTTTGTGGCAATCGGCAAAGAATATAAATAATAATATAAATATATATACAACAAAAAAGAATATAAATGTACACTCACTTCCAAAAGTTAAGCACGAAGATGTAAAATGAAAAAAAAAAATAAATAATAAAATACTGCTTGATTGACACAAAATTCGGCAGAAAAGTGCATATATTTATGCATAAAACAAAATCAATAATTATATACAGAAATGAAAACAATATTAAATTTTTGTAAGTTGTCAGATAGTGACATACTGGAGACTTAGAATTATGTATAAAGTGAAAATAAACGTGCGTTATCGCCCATTAAAACAAAAGTAGTGCCAACTGCTGCATCGTACAATCTAACAATGGGTTCTAGGACTCCCTCTCGATACCGGACAGCCGTCAAAGAACCCCGTTTAAAGATGTGCAGCTCGGTGCGGTATCCTAATGAAATCCTTGCCCACACGATAATGCTTCGGCCTCGGAATGGGTGATGTTCAGTGATATTTTGGGACTGATTGCGTGTTCGTTGTTCACGCCATATCCTTATACGCTTGTCATCTGGCTCCAGAGCAAATCTTGACTGATCAGTAAACATGACATTGCCCTAGTCAGACACATTCCAATTGACATGTTCCCGGCACCACTGTAATCGTGCCCCTCTTGATTGGATGAATTCCCTCTTGATTGAACAAACTCGAGGTACTCGGGCGTACAGTCCACTTATATGTAATCTTCGGCGTACAGTAGCTGCAGATATCGCCTTACCAATGAACGCTGTTGTAACCATAGATGTCACACGTGTGGAGGTCGCTCTGCGATTCCGCTTGGCTACAATAGCAATAGATCGATCTTCCGCGGGGTTGTAACCCTTGGGCGACCGGCTACTGACCTTCGGACAACTGTCTGAATGGAACTGAATTGTTTCCATAAACCTGAAATTACAGAATGATGAACTCCGAAAAAAAGAGCAACATCTGTGATCGATTGTCCTGCTTCAATGCGCCCCACAACACGCCAGCGCTCAGAATCTTCCATTCGTCTTCTGGAAGTCATAGAAACACGTATGTCTTAAAAAAACTGCGAAAGTTTTAAACACTTTCTATCAGCACTTACAAGGAACTTCTGTAAGGAGCTGGCTTCTTATAAGACTGCCTTTTTTGCATATTTTTTGACATGAAAGCGCGATTGGGTTGTTACCTAACATATTTGCATACTTCCATCTACCTCTGCAGCGAATTGTATTCTCTTCAATTCTGATTGGCTTCCGGAAATTAGCATTTTCCTCTCCATGCTTAACTTTGGAAGTGAGTGTATATACATATATACCCAGTCTATTACTCGGCTCCGGGAGTTCAGTATTTTTAATTCTTATATATTGGTAAGTTGTGCATGCTTTGCTTTAAAAATGACTGAATTATGTTGTTCTTATCTTCTAGTTAACACATTGACTGCCACGTCACTTTTCAGATTCCGGTCCGAGAAGCCAAATTGATTTAATCATGTTATATTATTCCCAGAAGCCAGCTCTTCGTGTTTAAGACTGTTTTAAAATTTATCACAAACAATTAATATATTCTTTTTTTTTAACTGATGAATAAACATTGAATGTATATTTTTGTTTCATTTTCAATAAAATTTCTATTCGTATAAGCCAAACTTGATTGTTTATTTTCTTGCAAGTGGCCATCTATTCATATTTATACTTATAAACTACGAATTAACTCGTGGCGGCGCAAAAGTGGGAAGTCAAGAAACTACGAGATAACTCGTATTGAGTGTCCTGAAAAAGAGCGCTAATACGAGTTATCTCATGTTGGACAGTCAACGTGTTCAAGTTTTTTAGGTCTTTAGTTAACCTGCATGGAATATTTGCAGAATTATCAACAATTTAAAAGTCGTTTAGGCGAGGCTAAACCTAATTTTTTCACCATACCAGCCATATTTGTTTACATTTGAAATTTAGGAGAGTAGTGGATTTTTTGCCAAGCTAAAGAAACTATGCTTCGCAACAACTGTTGCTTTTTCATTTGTCTATTTGTCTAAGTTCTTTTATACATGTTTATAGATTTATTATAGTATTTGTATAGGACATGTGGCAATGATTAGATAATTCTTCAGATGATATAATTTTTGCGCATTCTGAATTATAAAATAAATGTAACGCTGTTAAGTGAATCTAGCGCCAGAGTGTCACTAAAAAGTGTGACATAAGCAAAAATACAAAAACAAAAAAGCGGTAAAGGGTAGATTAGGCAAATTCGAATCTCATTACTGACTCTTCAGGGGAAATTTTATAATGATTTTCGAATCCAGCTAATTCCATATCGCGTTTCGTCGAAACAGACAACTGAAACTGTATACGAAACTCTTTTTGAATATTAATTGAAAAGAACTTAGTCATAAACTTAAGTCTCAATTTTCTGTTCCATTTGCCGATGCATCCGCTTGAGAAAACACACTAACGTGTAAGGAAAAAAAACTATACATAATGCTCTGGTTATGCCAATGTACAAAATAAAATAAATAGCGATTTGCTATTAGTCAAAATTACAAGATTTTAAGGGAGGACCTACTAGCTTATAGAGTTTAAACTTTGTGAATGTAGCTAAAAAATTAAATTTAAAAAAATTTAAATAAAAAGGTATATATATATATATATATATATATATATTTACTAAAAAATATTGATTATATTATCTCGTAATATAAATTTAATAGAAGTATCAAAAGAGAGGGAACCCATGTAGGAAGTTTAATTTCGAAAATTGTGTTGCAAAGTAACTTCAATGTAATATATGATGCACAACTACATGTTATAGCAACACTGTGTACAAAATTTCAGCGTTCTTAGGCTACTCCTTTTTGAGTTATGTGACATATATACTTACATACATACATACATACGTACGCACAGACGTCATGAAAATATCTTTTCTGTATCCATTTTAAATCAATTTTTATAATCCGTTTGGGGGAAAAGAGACCTATATTCTGCCCTTACGTTCATGTGTCACTCGAAAACATCGTTAAAGAGCATTCGATAACGATCGAAATGGATATTTTTGTTGTATTATGATATCCGAAAGTTTTCGCGGTTACAATATTTCCTTTACTTCGTACAAGGAAGTAAATATGAATTATATGACAAATCTGGGGCAAAGCAATGGAGGCACTAACAAGCCAAGGAGTGTGTTCATAAAGTTATTGAAATAATGATTATATTAAGTTCATTTCTTTTTTTCCTCGAGATGCATTATATTTTAAACGTTTTATTGGCAGCACTGAATACTCACTATTGTTTGGTACTGAAATTTGAATACTCATTTTTATTTGAGTTGATATTAAATAATCGAAATTGTTGTTGCTTGCAGTTCGCAAGCAAAATTGCCATGCATTAATTATTTGGGCTAATTACAAAATTGCCGTTTAAAGACTCTAGCGCGCACTGCTATTCTTGTAGAATACAATCATAAGATCAATACCGGTATAATATCGACACTGGCATAGATTTAAAACAGGCTTTGAGTTGTTTTTCAATTTCACGTTTGATCGTCGTGTTGATAACTTCTAGACAGGAAGATGGTTTTAAATTTCAATTAGATACGATTTGATGGAGATTCGTTTTACATCTGGGTCTGATTGAAAGAGAAATACCTTGTAGTGTTACTGATTAGCAAAAAATCATGAAACGTTTTGCTAATTGCTAGTGATTGGGAAGTTTGATGAAAGGCAATAAGTTTCACGAATGTTCAGTTCATTTGAAACTTAAACGGATTGTATTTGTTCTTGCGTTGACGTGAATCCAAAACCGAAGATATTTTCAAAAGATGAACGCATTTTCAAAAGTTTTCATATTTGCTTCACTTCTCATCTGGAGATTCAATTATTATAGTTTGATTATGAAATATTAATAAAACGAATATAAAGACAAATTACTTTTCAATTAATATTTAAGCAGAATTTAAGACTAGAACAATATTTTCAGTTTTAAATAAATTATTCAATTATTCTAAGGGATAAATCTCTTCATTTTGGCTAAACCTTCAATTGCTTTCAGAATATCCATAACAATCTCGAAATCATTAAAATCTTTCGCCAAATTATTTCCATAATTATTAATATCATATCAGTGCTTCATAAATTTGCTTGGAGCACAGCCCATGGGCCTTCAGTTTGAGATACCATAGTTACTTCATTTAGACTTAATAAGGATGTATCAGGATAAACTCTTCTAGGCTTATGAATATCATTTTCAAGCTAAGCATTAATTAGGTGACATTAACATGTATTTTATATAGTAACATGTAGTGGTATCAAATAGAGGTCATAACAGCGCGATACGAGATGATCCTCCTTTTGCACAGTAAATACATTCTAAATTGTTGAAACAAACAACAGAAAGTAGACCACATTAAACTTTCAAAAACAGCAGTAATTTCAAAATGGGTATAAATGGCAGATTTGTGTTCAGCTGTTATTCCGTTACATGTAATAATGTTACTGTTGTTATAATATTGCAAGTAATATATCACTTTCAATTACAGTTGATGCTGTTAGCTTTAAAACC